CCTAGACGGCTTGCCCGATTTCAATGAAATTTTCAGGGGTAATTGGGTCTGTGTGGAGGGTGCACATAAAAAATTTAATGTGTGTATCATTGCACGTTTTGCAATTAATTCTGTTTGGCTTTACGCGTTTTTTTGGATTTTTATTATTGTTTTGCCGCAAGACTGGCAGTCCTGCCTTTTACTAATAAATAAACAGAAACAGCTGGCGAATGTTTACAATTATTAAAAAACATTGACAACAATTTAATTTATAATCTTATAACTGGAGTCTACTATCGCACCCTTTCCTCAAACGTGTATTAATTCAATATTCAAATAACGTATATTTATATAATTTGAAAAAATCTCCCTACTATACAAATATGTACAGCAATATTAACTAACTAGCGAATACCCGGCGTGCTTCGCTGCGCCTTAAAAGTAATTTTGTTTTGTTACTCCCTCTCACAACATTTGAAAATATTAGTTAATATTGCTGTACATATTTGTATAGTAGGGAGATTTTTTCAAATTATATAAATATACGTTATTTGAATATTGAATTAATACACGTTTGAGGAAAGGGTGCGATAGTAGACTCCAGTTATAAGATTATAAATTAAATTTCCAAGAGAAAGTCGGTTCTTTACATATTTTCTAATTACCTTCGAAAATATATTAACTAAAAAAAAAATAAACAATGCTGCATAGATCGATTTTTTTAAATCTAACTTCATAAAGTTCTTTAAAAATATTTTGTAAATGAGGCTATAAGAGCTTACGGAGAGAGTTACAACACAAAAATACATTTAAGGCGCAGCGAAGCACGCCGGGTAATTGCTAGTATACTATAAAAAAGCAAATTTTGTTTAGAAGAAAATATGAAATTTTATATTTTTCCCCCAAATGGGGATTCATTTCTTCCCGTTTTTCTTCTTATTCTACTGAGCTAAGGCAGTGTCAAATCGAGCCGTGACAACTGATACCACCTTGTATTATTGCATCATGCATGTGAAGTGCTATGAGTTGGGTAACCGCTTACACGCAAAGCCCATTTAACAGATTCTTATGTGACAACTTTCATGCAACGCTAAGTACATATGCATAAATGGGCTATTAGTGTCAACCAGGGGATGAATCACGTATGACGACAATCGTCTGAACGATATCGTGTCGAGTTTGTCTTGCTTCATCAAAATCAACAATTGTTTGATCGTCGATAACAGCAACACAAATGCATAAATCAGTGTTTTGACAACATCGTTTTGTCAGTATCGTTTGAACAACTATCGTTTCAAAGTTACTTGATTTATGCCCAGGCTTTGAGCAACCGGCCCTCAGGTATGTTACACGTTTAATCAGCTGATCAATATACACACATCACAATTTTGTGTATCAACTGTTTACTTGCATACCAGCCCTGCTTTCACAATCACTTTTAACACGGTGCTGCCATCTTTTTACTCACTTTAATAAAGAGCTTATTGAAACTGAAAAAAAATTAAATGAGAATTAAATAAAAGATTTTATTAAAGTTAATTTCCACTTAAATGACTTAGGGTTATAATCCCTTTGCAAAAATTCAAATTCTCCCCAATATTTTATGATAAAGTGAAAAATTGTGATATAAACTTCCGCGATTTTTTATTAAAAATTTTCGCCTGCGGCGCTTTTTTCATGCATTTTAATATAAGGCGAAGCTGCCTCAGGGGCGGACCCAGCAGCATTTCTTGTGTTGTTTCTGTTCAACATATATCGTGTATATAAATTTAAAAATCACCGCAATTTAAAACTTTTAGAGTTTTGATAGTTTTTAATTTCTTGAACTTTCCCCTTTTTAATAACTTGAGTGGAATTCCAAAATTTTCTAAACTTTCAAAACTTTGTGAATTTGAGAAATTTTAGTAAATCCCAATAATTCAATTAATTCAATATAATGATGAATACTAGTTTTCTAAAAATTTTTTATTTTTCAAAAATTTTGAGAATTGTAGGAATTCTAACAAATTTTTTCTAAGTAAAAGTGTCGAATATACAAAATTGTTCAAACGAAATTAAAAGTTTTCGAATGTTGAAAACATTTTCATATTTCGTCATTTTTGAAATTTAAAAAATTTTCGTAATTCTTGAAGATTCAAAAAATTTTTGGACATCGATGTTTTCAAAATTTTTAAAAAATTTAAAATTCTCAAACTTTGTTATATCAATCAAAATTTTGGAAAAGTTCAGAAAAGTGGAACAATTTTGGAATTTTTCTAAAATGTTAATATCTTAGAATTCTAAGAATTTTCTATTTTTTACACACGAGTACATGAACATAAGAATTTTTCGACAATTTGTGATGTTTCACATTTTTACATTTTAGTATGGATTTTAGGATAAATAAAATTCTCAAAATTTTGGAAAATATAAAAATTTCTAAAATCTCAATAATTTTGTACATTTCAAAATATTCTCATTTTACCAAAATTTCTAGAATCTCCCGGATTTCGATAGTTTTTGAAATTTTGGAAATTATCCTAAAAATAAGAAATCTCAAGAAATTTAATAATATTATAAAATTCAAAATTTTGGAATTTTCGTTGTTTTCTGAACCTACGAAAATATTCAAACTTGCTGTGATTTTCAACTGTGTAAAGTAATACAAATTCCAAAATATAACAAAAAAACTAAAGGCGGGTTCACCGTTCGTGTCTGGACAACTTTTTATTTGCTCTAAAAAAATTTTGCCGGAGAGGGTACGGTTCACCGTTCAGTTCGACACATTTTATTTTGTTCTGAGGCAAACAGCTGATTATATTATTGCCTACATACGATTTAAGGGCAAATAATACATGCAATTCGCTGCAAACGCATACAAAGGAGAACGCGGCAACCCGAATCATCAAGTCGTTTGGACAGAAAATCAAAATCAATTTGATTCGAACAAAGAGTGTTCAGCACATTTTTGTCACGCTCTCAGTGAGACAAGAGTGGGAAAGGAACGCGTAAAATTGCTAACAAAAAGTGTCGGGACACGAACAGTGAATCTGCCTTAAAAATTTAAAATTAAGTACATAATATCAAAATTTTGAAAATTCAGTGAATTCCAAAACTGATAGGCCTACTTAAATAACACAATACTTCGAGCTTAACACACAGCTATAATTTCAAGCTCAAGTGAAATTTGACACACTTTTTCCATGAATTAAAATTTTCAAAAGCATCCATTCATTAGGTTTGTTCCCCAAGCTTCTCGAAGTCACTTCGAGTTACATATACGCGCTCCGCAAGCAAGTTTTCGAGTTTCTTTGATATACGCTCACAGTTTGAACTTTGCTCGAGTTTTTCTACAAGTAGCTTGTGGGAGAAACCTGTTATATATTCTTGTAATGATATTTCACGATATTCAGTTGAATATTATGAAAATACCTGTTACACAGTCTTGGTTAATTCTATTCTGACATCTGGCAGCACCAACATCTGTTTTCGTTTACCATGATGCAATAATACAAGGTGGTATCAGTTGTGACAGCTCGATTTGACACTGCCTTAGCTCAGTAGAATAAGAAGAAAAACGGGAAGAAATGCATCCCTATTTGGGGGAAAAATAAAAGATTTCATATTTTCTTCTAAACAAAATTTGCTTTTTTATAGTATATTCGCAATGAAATGAAATAAAATAAGATATAATACCTTTTTGAGAAAACAAAATGTGTATACTTAGAAAAACAAATTTCAACTAAATTATTAGGCAAAGAATTGTTAAAGAAGTAACACTGTTTCAGCTAAGGTAGTCAATATGGCACGTGTGTCAAGTTAGCACTACACTTTTTGGAATTGGAAAAGTTAACTACGGCATTAATTGTAGTGTTTTTGTTGTAAATTTCTTGTGGAGAAAAAATTTGTAGCTCTCATTTTTTACAAAATATGGTATGTAGTGCTAACTTGACACCATACACCTAGTCGATAGAATTGAGATATCCAATATGTTACTATGCCATTAATTGTAGCTTTTAACTTTAAAATTTGTTGTGGAAATAAAAAATTTTTAGCTCTCGTTTTTAAGAAAAAATGGTATGTAGTGCTAACTTGACACCATACACCTAGTCGATAGAATTGAGATATCCAATATGTTACTATGCCATTAATTGTAGCTTTTAACTTTAAAATTTGTTGTGAAAAGAAAAAATTTGTAGCTTTCGTTTTTTTTTGGAAAAAATTGAGTTGACCCTTTTTCGGACAAAATTTAGTATGTAGTGCTAACTTGACACCATGCACCATTGACGACAGAATTGAGATATTGAAAATGTTACAACGGCATTAATTGTAGCTTTTTTGTTGTAAATTTGTTGTGGAA